ACATGACTTTTATGCCAATTCCACATGATTTTTATGCCAATTCCAGAGTACACAGGTGGAGAAAAAGGGGCTTATAGACATGTTAAAATCAAAGTGGCCTAATTTTAAGGCTGTTAAATACTCATAGATCTCATTGGCTTCACAGGCTTTATGAGGAGCATTAATATTTCAGAGTAGAAGAAAATAATCTGTGAAAAAGACCTACAGTGGGAGTTCTTATTTAGTAATTTATTATTTTACTACAGGGTTGATCAGATTTGATTACGTTTAAGATGCATTTTAAATATTACGCAACAATTGAAATATCTATTCTGGCTGCCTGCAAAAGTGGCAAAGTGGCCTTGATGACTCTGGTTCCTATTCCTGTAGCAAAACATACATCCCCAGTATTTATTATACAGATGATCTGGTCTCACCTGCTGATAAATTATAGTTTTAGATTCTGGTTGTCACACAGCCCAGGCACTGAGCTCTGCAATGTCTCAACCTTTCCCAAGTGTAAAGGGTGTTTGTCTCTTTTCTCTTAAAACTTCTGTTTTCTGCCTTTCTCTTGTTTTGCTTGTCCAGTTTATAGAAAATTTTTTCAAATACTTGTCTTTTGGGAAGTCCTGAAAAGTTAAGGAAAGAACAGCATCTTTAGTCAGAAAATAGCTCGAGGATGTTCAGCTACAATGTCTAAAGGACTTTCTCTTCATCTGTAGCAGGCAGCTGCAGAAATTGATCTTGATCTGATAGAACGTGCCTAGTACAGAAAGCTAGATACATTTTCTTCAATCAAAGGAGGATGTCCTTTGGTTTGCACATGCCAAAATAGCAGCCATCTTCTGTTTCTCATCATGTTATTCTAAAAAGTTTATTAAGAGATCAACTGAATCTTTTGTCATGATCTGTGGCTAAGCTATCCAAAATACTTTATTCAGATTTTTGTGAAAGAATCCTTTCCGAAGGACTGGGCCTCCACTTGTTATTTTTGGGTCAGAAGCCCATAGTGCAAACATTCTTTAATTGAGCTTCCAATATATACTTCTTAGGCTTCCAAACACGGAATCAGCCAACCTCAGGACTTGGCACCTGTAAAAATTTCCCTTGTGAGTCTGCAAGCAGGAAGTGTGTCCAAAGATTAGAAGGCATCTTTGAAAACAAAACATGATTTAGTTGCACACAGAAGGGGTAATCACTGATGAAAAAAATGCATATGCATACTTTCCTGCTTATGTTTGGCATTTCCTTCATGTCTAAATGAAGACACAATTAGCCTTGTCTCCATTTTGGTCAGCTGTTAGACCCGTTTTCTTACTATGTTTCTCAGCTATATTTGCCATTCATCTGACTGATTCAGACTATAGTCACTGACAACTTCCCCACATTTCATCCTGCAGAATAGATCTGTTATCTGAGTAATTCTTTTGGCTTGGGTTATATTTTTAACTACTGTAAAGTGCTGAAGTCTGAGTCAGCTTTCCACAGCTATTATAGTGGCTACTGTGTTCAGATGTGTCCATCTGCTCCTCAGTCAGTCCTTATAATGCTTTACATGTTTTCAAATTGTCTACATTATGTGTGAAATGCTATAGGACAAACAAGTGATGGTATAACAGAATATTATTTAATATCAACAAGTATGTGTTAATTCCCATTACAATGAACAACTGAGAGTAATCTTCCTGAGCTAAAATATTATTCAATTTATTCTGTTTTGTTCAAAAGTTTTTCTCAAGAAATTCATACAACATTAATTAATGAATTTGTCTCAACTTTAATTAAAGAGTTACAATTTAATATAACCAGAAGATAATAACATATATAGATAAATACTACACAATTAAAAATAGTTCAACCAGTATAGTGAGAATAAATGTTACTTCGAGGATCTCTAAGCATGGAACATTGGCTCACTGAGATAACAACAATGTGTAGCCCTCTTAAAGGAAAGTACTCTTTTAGGAGATTTCATAGCTAAGTACTCTTTTAGGAGATTTTATTGCTATCTGACTTGGGAAAAAAATATTCAGTCATCAGTAGAGGATACACATATTTCATGTTTGAAAGTAAACTAACCATAATATTGCCATAGTTCAATAAGATCTTATTCTACCACAGTTTTGTTTTTTCTTAGTTGACAGTAACTGCAATTGCAAATGACCAGTAATAATTGGCAACTACAATAAAGTCGAAAGCAAGGGTGAACTAAAGACTAAAACTATGTCGCTGAGATCAAATTTAGGCAAAGCAATTGTCTGTGTGTTGTGAGTAAACCCTGGACTGAATCATGCAATGTTCCTAGAAAAGGATGTTCGCAAACACGACTTCAACGATCTTTGCCTGACTACAGTGTTCACATATGAGAGCATAGCCATGAATACCTTGAAAGGCTCACTCACAGTATAGCTTCATTAGCTCAGTAAGACCACAGTTGTGACTCTGCAGATTTTAGTTTAGATTCAGTTTGCATCTGTAGAGATTTGAAAGATGTGTATGGAAACATTTGAAATCTTCTGCAGAAGTTTCTACAGACATGCCTCAAGAATGGTTTTAATTACTTGTGTAATCAGACAGTGGCTTTTCCTATCCAAATTCCAACAGTTCTGCATTTTTGCAAATTCTAAAATCAAATTTTTCTGAATGAGAAAATTAAGATATACCCCTAATGAAGATATATAGGGTATATTTGTTTAAAAATTTTCCCTCTGAGACATTTTCCTTTTATTTTCTTCTGCATTTTAGCTATCATTAATAAAAGGAAATTCATATAGAAAAAGGAAATGCATTAGTGTTGTTTTAACGAATTGCCTTTAACCCAAGAAAGTAAGAAAATTCAAAGATAAGCCTTTTGATTAACCTTTAACTGATGACTTAAAAGCACTGATTTCAAGCCTTAACAACCTTGTAATTATGAAGGCACAGGGGGGATGTACTGTGGACATAGTGAAAATTTTAATGCAAAACATGTCTGGCTTTTGTGAATTTCTTAAAGTTTTAAAATTTAACATCATTTCTGTGTGTGATATAAACATATGTGTTCTTGACCCACTTCGACAAACAACCACAAGTGAAATACTATTTGCATTAATCCTTCAAGAGCTTTGCAAAAAGACTGCATCTCAAGAGATGTCTTTTCCACTGAATTTTACACTATCCAGCTTGGTTTCATTACTTTTTACATATATTGAATTGCAGCTACTTGTTGTTCAGAGCATTGGTTTATGAACTTATTCCCATTATTTCATTCCAAGTGTATTAATTTCTATGTAGTTATAGTTTTATCCTGAGAACTATAAAAATGTCATCGTAAACTAGTACCTTACAAATTAAATTCTATTTTCACCCTTTAATCATTATGTAATAAGACCATGAATATATTTGTACCCCGCTAAAATAATAAATAGGCACAACAAAAATTTTTCACAATTTTTACTAGATCTTTTATTGTTTTTTTTAATGGGATTAGGGACCCACACTAGTGGCTCTCCATACAAGATTAACACCTAAGATTATTATGTATTTGTAGAAATTACTTTTTCTATCCATGATATAATGTTATGTTGGAACTACTCCAAGACCGTTATTGGTGCTAATAAGTCAGTAGGATTTAAGGAACCAGAGTAAAAAAATTGTTGAAGCTATATATATGGATACTAGAATTAGCAAAATTTAGCAATTCTGCACTGCAGTTTCTTTATGGATGTAGCTCTGAAATCCATTACTCATGAGGCGCAGATTTAAATCAGTGTTGAACATTTTAAAATCCATATTTTCTATTCACCTGCCTGTTCAATGAAAAGTATAAGGAGACTGAAAAATACTGATAGTTGAATGTTTGTGTTCAACCTTAGGAGGCTGCATAATCCTTGATACCTCAACACCTATGTCAGATAAGGAAGATATCCTTGATTCTTGAACTGAATACTAATTCTGTTTTTTTAATAAATAGAAAATTTGTACAATTCTAAGCTCATAAGATCAGGTGATGCAGAAAAATTTAAATTTAATATGAAAGATGCAAATTTTCAGGCATAAATCTGCACTACTATGCTTGAATTAGTGAAGGTCAGTGCCTTCAGAAGGGTTTCTGGAATGCTAGATATTGCAATATGAGTTTAGTATATTTTGTAGGAAGGCCTTTTCCAAAACTGACAGGATTGGTAAAATTATCCAGCATTAATGTTTTCAGGTGCTCTCTGGACTAAGATATTTTCTACAGACACTTATTAGACTGCTGAATGATGATATTTTGATCCAAAATTTTTGTAAGAAATAAAGTGGGACAAGTCCATTTTTTTCTGGAACATAGTAACTATATATATTGTTTTGATAATGTTTAAATACTCTTGACACCTTTTCTTTGAAATGTTCTAGCACCTGACTATTTTGAAACAGGGTCTTTGAATTTGGCAGGAGGAATGAGGCTTTATGGCAATGATAGAAATCTGAAAAAAAAATTCTGCCCAGGATAGAAAAGTCATAATAAGAAAGAATTACTGTTCATGCTGCTGAGCACTTGATAGTGTTTACCTAATAAGCTTCTGGTTATTTTTTTCCCCTCAATAAACATATTTCTATCACAGCTTCAAGTGTGATCAGACTCTGCATACACCAAAATATGCAGGAAATGAACATCCAGCTCAGAGGCAGGATAGAACAGGGGGATTTTTCCTGCTCCCTGCTGCTCTGGGTTAAGCCCCAGTGCTTGAATTAAAAGAGGAGAATCTGCTTCTCCTGTACTTGAGTTACAATCTACATCACTGGTAAAAAGAAATTATGAAATATTCACTCCTTTGATTCAAATATGTAGGGCATTTAGCCTGAAGAAGACATTGGATTCTACAAAGTCTTCCAGAACTATTAGTGGAAGCGAAGACAGAAACAATCAACTAAAAATTCATGGTGGATTGACCCTGGCCAACAGTAAAGCCCTCACTCAGTCTCTCACTCACTCTCCCACCCAAGCAGGATGCGGAACAGAATCAGAAGGGAGAAAAAGATGAGGATAAATTCATAGGTCACAATAAAAACAATTTAATAAGTGAAGAAAATAAAGGAAAAAAAATCCCAAAGGAACAAGTGGTACAAAGAGTCACTTACCACCTCCAACAAACAGACCAGTGCCCAAGCAATGCCTACCTTGAGAGAAATTAGTCTCCAAGCAATGGGTACCTTGGAGAAATTACTCCCCTGACCGCTAGTTTTATTGCTGAGCATAGCATCATATGGCATGGAATATATCTTTGGTCAGCTGGGGTCAGCTCTCCCAGTTTTGTCCTCTCCCAACATCTTGCCCACTCTCAGCCCAGTCCCTGTGGGAGCAGAGTGAGAAAACAAAGTCCCTGATATTATGCAAGCACCACTCAGCAATTGCTAAAACACTGGTATATTATCAACACAGTTTTGGTCAGAAATGTAAAACACAGCACCATATGGGATGCTACAAAGGAAGTTGACTCCATTCCAGCCAGACCTAGTACAGAATTATACTGGTCTGACTGGAAACTGCAACAGAGGAAAAATAGAAACAGCAGGGAACAGAGACTGGAACAAGTTGAACAGGAAGATTCTTCAATATACAAAATGAATAGAGCTCACTTGTATATCTCAATTGGATTTATTTGCCAAGCATTTTTATTTAATTATTTTATTTTTTCTTAAGGGGGAATTATTTATTTACATATTGGCTTTTCTGAATTAATTGAATGTTTCACAAATATATTTCAGTATAATTTCACACCACCACTGTGAGACAATGGAAAGTCAGGGATACTTGTCAGGTAGGGAAAAGAAACATAAATTTGAAGAAGTATTTCTAAATTTAGGATAATCAAATCTGACACTCATTACATGAATTTCAGAGTGCCTTGTATTACCTGGTACTTCAGATGTTCAGAACAGATCTCATTTTGGTTCTAGCTGGAAGTCCTCAACAGTTCAGACTCCAAGATCTCCAGATATACTGTTATTAAAACAAATTTGTTTAAATAATTTTCCTAGGGGAAAAAAAGAAATAAAATCCTACATCAGAGAAAAAAGTATAATTCTAGTATTCTAAGGAAATATCTGCACTTTTTTCTTCATTTTTTATACATTCAATCTGGAAATGATATCATGCAGCCTTATTTTTAAATATGAGATATGAGCCATTTGAAGGTAAAAACTTATGACCTAAGCTAATCCATATTATATTTCTTCAGTAGAGAATAAATGGAGGGAGTGGTGTCTGACATCTTCTGCTTAAATAAAATTGTGGAAATCACTAAAAACCCCATAGATGGTCACTCAGCCCCAAAGCATAAGGGATGCTGCGATAGTCAGTCTTTTCTAAGTAGAAAGACTCAGAGAATACCACATAGTATAGGATCTGTTGGAGCTGAAAAAAGTAAGAGGTACCCTGCTAAATGATGGTAGTATGAACATCGGACAGTTGGCCTGGTCAGGGTATTTCCTATGGCTATGAAAAGCTGCCAAACAAACTAGCCACACATACACCTGCTTTGTACTGAAGGTTGTTTTTTTTTTTTAATCACATTTAAAGACAGTGTGTCTCCCTAAATTAACATCTTTCTTCTTCTGTGTTCACTGTCATCTTTTCTTATATAAATAATGGTATAGTCAATGAAAATGCAATGGTATGAACAGGTTTATCCTGTAGTTATACTACTATTAAACAAAAAAAATAGTACATTTTGAACATCATTTCTAGTTCTCATTTTAATTTGCACCTCCTAGAGAATGGTTGTTCAAGTAACAAGAACTAGTTGTACTAAACCCCAAATTCACTTTACCTGTTATTATTAGAAGGAGCTTTGAAAGAACATTAGAAGCACCTATATTTTAAATTGAAGCTAATAAAACAGCAAAAGCTGTTGCTGAAGATAATAACCTAAAAAGGGATAACATCACAGTAGAATCAGTACCGTTCAACTGTCTGTCCTGCCATCTGTAAAGAAATGTGCTATTGTTTCTTGATTTAAGATTATGAAGAATACTGCTTAGGTGATATTCACTTATTTTGGAAAGCTTTTCATGCACCTAATCAGATAAACAAGATGCTATCTTCTGAGGCTGCTGAAAATCAATTGAACACGGCAAATACCTTTTGTCTTTTTAAAAAGTCAAACAGTAACCTTTCTCATACTATAAGCATGTTAGCATGTGATTCAAGATCCAAAACTCAAGCCACAAATACAGGTCTCATTGAATTTTAAGATGACTGAAAGAAGAAAGAAATTGCCTAGGGCTGGCAATGCTGAAAAGCAGAAAACAGGACATATGTACAATTCATTGAAAGCAGCTTGCTCATAACAAAGAGAAAAGGTAGCCAGCTACTTTGAAGAAAGCAGCCTTCGATAACTGGTTCAAGGGACATACTTATTTTGAAAGTGTATACCTTTAGACAAAAAAATGTAATACTTTTCAACATTGAGAGAGCAGTTATATATTCTACTTATAAAAGATGAACTGATTAATATTTAAAGAAGAAAAACAAAGGAAAAAACTTAATTCCCTATGAAATTGTTCAGTGTGTATATATCATCCGTGCAGGTGGGTGTACTTGAATATAAGACATTTTTTTACACTTATACATGAAGCAGAATAGCAAGAAGTCACTAGAGGATATCAAACAGAGAAGGAAAGCCTAGACTTCAGCTTTAACCCAGATCATGATTTTTTTCTTATGCTAAGAAGAAAATAATGGCACAAATTGCATCCTTTTTCTTTCCTGCTCTTTAGAGAACTGGTAATTAGAAATGTTGGAGCAATTTTCCTTTGCACACTACAGATTAGTGCTGAGTAATACTCACTGGTGAGGGGAAAATTATTCAAATTTCATGGAACTTTTACCAACATTTGACCTAGTCAATGGTACTTTTGTCTATTAAAATGCACTTAAATAGCATAGGTTATTTCTTCAAAAGCTAAGTGTTTTCTTCTAATCTTTAAGGTATTTTAAGCATGGATATAGATAAGTTTTAGAAAATACTACATTTTCCTTCTCCCAGGTAAGAACTAGTTTTGATTTTCAAATGAAAGACAGATAGCTGCACTAACTACTCTTTGTTTTTAAAAAAACAGAGATGTCACAAAACATCAGAAAAATATCTGGTGTAACCCTTGTTACTGAAATATTTCTTGACCTTCTAAAGAAAATTAAGAAATGAACTGCTATGCTGTCATTAAAGGCTTTATCCTATGGACATGAAAGTTGAAAGGATCATTGTTCTCAAACTTCAGACTCAAATTACATTTGAAAGGGAATAAAGGAAGAACCAAGAAAATTTAAAAAGAGGCTGGAAAATTGCTTTAAACTGATAGATCTAAATTCTAGGAGGCTGTCATTGTGGGAGGGGTGAGGAAACATTCAGTTCTCAGAAAAGAAGAGGGTTTAAATTTCCTATTTTATCAATGAAGGATGGGTGTCATTTCTGAAAATCCCTATCACACCATATTAAGGTCAAAAAAATCTCAACAATGTGATTCACTATATTTAAGTTAGGCAGCTACCTTTTTCTATTAGGCTATTCTTTCTGCTCAGGACCTAATTTGTCTCATCTCATTCTGAGATAGATACGAAAGGGTGGCTTTTTTAAAGGAGATTTAGCAGTGGCAGTTTTTAACCTTTTGCTTAATACATTATGTTAGAGCTCTTTCCTAGAAATTTGGAGAGGTGGGTTCTGTGCATGCTTCAGCTGCAAGGGAATTAAACTTACATGTTAAGAAAATACTGAAAGAGCTGAAAAGGAAAGAAGCCTGTCACTTAAACTTATGGGTTTTTTGGTTTGGTTCTTCCTTTTTTTTTTTTTTTTGTGTAGCCAGAAATGTAAAATCCCTGAGGACGGAGTAGAATAAGATGGAGCTAGACTCTTGTCAGGAAATGATTAAAACTGAAAAAAAAAAAAAAAAGGAAAAAAAGGAAGCCCAAATACTCTTTATTGTAATACGTATTTGTTTTCTATTAGGCCACCATTGGCTGGGGAGGGAGGGGGGAAGAACTATTTGTTGAGAGTAGACCTTCCTGTATGACAGTGTTTAACCATTCGGAGTCAAATATCTTCTCTTTCTTGCAGTACAATATTTCTTCACAGTTCAGCAGAAATGAAAAGGTGGCTTTCCAGAATTTTGAAGATAAGATTTTTTTCTACCTGAAGATGATTAAAATCTATAAAGAAAACTTTCAGGTTTCTCTGACAAGTGCTAAAAGCAGTATGTGACTGTGAAGTGTCCGAACAGCACGACTGACTAAATGATCAGAATTATGGCTGTTTTTTCAGAATGCCCTTGTAGATCTGGGTGCCTGTTTAGTTATGCAAGTATGAAATAGATAATTATATCTGCAAAATAAGTACCTTTAAAATATGTGCAAGCATTCAGTATGTCAGCTAATCTTATGCTGGGCTGTAAAAGGACACACACATATGGAACAGCTGTTTAGAAATTAGGTAGGACTTCAGGTCCCCTTGGTAAGAATCTGGTAGAACCAACACCATTCAGAAACTCACTAAAAACTCCCTGGTATTTTTGGATCCAAGAAAGTAACTTGAAGCAAGAGATTATGTTATCTTTCAGATCAAACCATACCATAATTATACCATATACTAAGTCAAACTAAATCATACTAAGTACTAAATCATACCATATAATGAAAAGGTAGGTACACAATGACAAAAGGAGGAATAATGCACCCCTAGGAAAAAAGAGAATGATTTTATGCATATTTTAGTGGATTTGGGATAGCTACTTTTTCATCTGCCTATGACTCTACTATGACTGAATTTTTCTAATTCTTTCATCTTTTATTTGATTAAAAAATAGCGCTAATGCACAAGACAGTGGAAAACAGAACACAGTCCTCAAGCACATTTCATTGAGTTAGCTGACAAAATGAATGTCAAAAATTTAAAGGTATAAAACATATATTATAAATATGCTAAAAGGCATTCTTGCTCAAGATGTACCTGAGTAATAATTTTTAAAACTGCCATAATTTTACAACATTTCTGAGTGTGTATGAGGGGTGACTGCACTGATAAATGGACACATTCTTCAAAGTCACCAAATGCATGCATATCCTAATATTCCTTAAGCATAAACTTGCAAAGATCAATACATGGTTGAAAATGTGTTTTGATCGACTTCATCCAACTGTGATTATCAGTAGTATTCTCCCTTTGCAAAAATTATTCACCTGGTTAAAAATTCACAAATGCTAGAATGGCAGAAAGTGAAAAATGATGTAATCCAGCCTGTTCCCAGCTAAGGTATAAATTTCCAGTACTTGTTAGCACACATCTGACAAACGCCCTCCCCCTCCTCCAAATATGTAAAGATTTCTGGAAGTCAATACACTGCTTTTCAGGAGATTGCTTTGGACGTAGCATGTAACATTTTGTAATAAATCTAGGATTAAAGTACAAGTTAAAGATCCAAACTTGTCTGTACACAGCAGCATTCCAAAGGAGAAATGGGATCAGGCTGAGTACATCATGATCAGCTTCTTCCCCACTTCTACTTTACAGTTTATTTTGCTCTGAGCTAAAAAAGTTATCTTTCTGTGTCTGCCTGTTCTTAGGCAAGTGAGAAACATAAGTAGTTTGCTTAGAGGAAAATGGTTTCATGTATCCCCTTGTTTCCTGCATTGCCACACAACAAAGTGAACTGTTATTAATTTTAAGGATTTGACTTTTCTGTGAGTAGTGAGATTAGTATTTACACATTCTATCTCTTCATTAACATTTGCTAGTATGAAAAGACATAAATACACCTTTCATACTTCAGAAAAAGGATTTATGGAAATAATTGAGAATACTTGTAATAAACTGAGGTTATATGATTCTTACCTGTATGCATAAGGATAAGAAAGTAAGGGAAATAACCTTTCTCCTCTTTCTTTCTCTGGTGTCTGCAGTATCTAAAGGGGAGGAACAAGAGGGCAAAAGCTATAGAGCAGAGCAATATTGTTCATTAGACCAACAGATAAATTTGGCAAAGGAAAAGAATTTTTTTCACAAAAGGCCTTTATTCAGAGATAAGTAAGTACCAAAGCACTTTTCCCTGAATTGCTGTTTAGGGAGTAAAAGATGTGAAGGGTTTCTTCCCTGCAACTTATTTCTGCTGCTGCACTCAATGCAGCAACATGTGAAAGTTTCAAAGTCACTTATCCCCATTAAAGTTATGCTGTGGTATTGCAAATATTACTGGATGGTGCCTTGCAGGTAGAATCACCCTTTCTGCTGTGGTTCCACTAGACATTACAATGACTCCTCTTGAGGAAGGTGACAAAAAAACAGTCACAGCTCATGTCTTCCTCTGTTGTCTACTTGCCCCAGTGCCTGAATACCTTGTCAAATTTAATCCAAGTCAAACAAGGCAGAAAGAGGGCTTAAAACCATGCTTCCTAACCCAGCATGTTTATTCCAGTAATGGAAGCTAGCAAGCTTGTTTTAGAAATATATTTGATTGTGACAAATACAGAAACACTATACACTGCCTACAAACTTTACTGGGATGCACATCACACAATTGTTATTCAGAATTTTTTCAAACGACTATTTAACCATACTTTAAAACCCAATATGCATATGCAAAATATGGCTTTTAAAGTCCTGTGCAATACTGAGGCATCACATTTCAGCCTTATGTAACGTGTGGAAATCACTCCCACAGCTTGGGGCTCACCATGTGTCAAGATTCTAAAAAGTGTCAGGACAATTGTTCCAATAAAATTTCTGTTACATATGGGAAATTAATCCTCAAATTACCAAGAAACAATGTCACACTAAATAGGCACAAATACTATTTAGTATTTTTATTATACCCTCTGTCTGATTTTACTCCACTTGCTGTGTTAATGTCTATAAATTCAGGGACAGAGACCCCACCTGCAGTACTGTGTTCAGCTCTGGGGCCCCCAACACAAGAAGTATGTGCATGCACCTGTTAGAGCAAGTCCAGAGGAGGGCCACAAAGATGATCAGAAAGCTGGAAGCACCTCAGCTACGCAGAAAGGCTGAGATAATTGAGCTTGTTCAGCCTGGAAAAGAGAAGGCCCCAGGGAGACCTTAGAGCAGCCTCTAAAGCCTAAAGGGGACCTACAAGAAATCTGGAGATTTTTACAGGGGCATGTAGGGACAGGACAAAGGGCAATGGCTTTAATATAGCAGAGGGAAGAATTAGATTAGATATTAGGAAAAAATTCTTCACTATGAGGCTGGTGAGACACCAGAACAGGTTGCCCAGAGAAGCTGTGGCTGCTCCATCTCTGGAAGGGTTCAAGGTCAGGTCGGATGGTGCTTTGAACAACCTGGTCTCGTGAAAGATGACCCTGCCCATGGCATGTAGGTTGGAACAGGATGATCTTTAACGTTCCTTCCAACCCAAACCATTCTATGACTCTATGAAAAAAAAAAGTGAGATAATAATCAGTATTTCCTTAACATAGGAATCTTAATGGTTTAGACTCATACGGACACTAATTATTGCAGGAGTTTGGAGAAAGACACATCATGTCTTATAGATTACAGAAATGTCTTCAGCTTTTATCCTGTGATATAAAAGAAGGAAAGTTCAAACAGGTCCAAATTTCTATAAATAAACAATACTGTATTACAGTGTTCTGTGAATGTGTCAAGTCTTGAAGAGCCAGATTGTGATCCTGGCTTTGTGCCCACACCAGAAATTGAAGCTGTTTAGCATTCATGCTGCCTAAATTTGCTGCCTATGTAACTGTTATCAAGATTAGAAGCAAGAACCCTCTATAAGACCATGTATTAACCCTCTTTAAAGGTGGATGGAGAATGATCAACTGGAAAGCTGACTGTAAATGGCATAAAGGTCTCCAGTGTATGGGCTGAGTAGTGACACAGTCATCTGCTCTAAATAAAAGGCTGATATATATTGGTATATTTCCCTACCTGGAAAAGAGAGTGGGAAAGAAGTGTGAGAACACAAAACTCTGTGGCTTTGAGTCATGATGCAACTTTTTTTAGGCTTGTTAATTATCATTGTTGTTAACCTACGTGTTAATCCTAATTTAATCTTTGCACAGTGGGGTAAGAACCCACTCCTGGCTCCTGGTATCTGCAGTTCCATCTGTCCTAATAAATAAAAGAAGCAGGTTGCTCTATGCCTGCTTAACTGGTAATTTTTTCCCTAGTTATGCTTTAGACTGTTTCAAATATCTCTCTTCAAGAGAAAGCCTGAGCAGGCTTTTGGAGACAATTTGTTTCATTAAATGATCCCAGAAGTCTATGCAGATAAAACTCAGTTTTCTGCCAGTTTTCCCTCCATATACAGTCCTTCTATACTATTCTCACCCAGTTGCACCTCACATATTCTCATGTCATACCTCAAAACTTCCAAAATACGATCCTCTGATTTTTCTTAATATACAATGATATTCTAGGAAGTTCCAACATAGTTTTGACATTAGTTCAGACACTTAAATTTGGGAGGAGAAGGAAAAAAAATCTGTCCAAATCCCTAGACCTGTAAAATAGAGGCTATCTCTCAGCACTTTAAGGGTTTAGCTGAAACACAGAGGCAAGTACTATGCAGTGTGGATCTAGTAAACTTATGCAAGGCTGGCTATCTCTAACCAGTGTGGAAAGGAGCTGGTCCTTTTCACTAGATCTCGGAAACTCTCACTCATTAACTATTTTTTGCTTAGTAGTTTGAACATAGTCTCAAATTGCTGTCTGTTCACTGGCCATTACTGTCTTTCCCCTGCTGTCTATTAAGTTATGAAAAATATCAATAGGAGAGCACTGCCATAAGAAAGCAAATCTGTGAATACGGGGATCCATAAATACAAATCATAATTTAAAAAGCAGACATTTACATCATTTGGGGGTCTTTTACACAGATACAGTTTATTGTGTTCTTCTTTAAATGCACTAACATATGACTGTAACAACTTCTAGTGCTATTGTGAAGGCAGACCTCTCTTTTATAAGCTGAACACTTCAGTCATCTTCCCACTCATTACATCCTACATGTTGTCAATCTTAGTTTCAAAAACTGTCAATCAGAAATGCAGTAGGTGATATGTGTAGTATTTTTTTAACCACATGAAGGTGGGCTTTTCTTTGATTTTCTTTTATTCTTTTGATTGCAAAATACAGTATGTGTCTTGCATAGAAGCAAACACAAAAGTACATGAAAAACAGTATTCTGAAAACTGAAAACAGAACTTCGGTATAGTAACCCTTACAGCTAAATAAAGTCTTAATGTTAGTTAAACATCATCCTGATTATTTAATACAGTGGTTCCAGATATTATAATTACCTCTTTAGACTTAAGGTTATTGATTTAGTAAGAGAAATTCTTAAATATTGACAAAAGACAGAAAATAAAAGTCACAATAATTTGCTGAAGCACATTATGACTTCTACAATTATATCAGTATCTGTGATAAAGCTGCCAGAAGGAAAAGGAGAGAAGCTGCCAGAAGAAAAAAGGGGGAGACTAGCACAGGAGTGGAAATAAAGACTGCACTAAGTGGACGATTAATCTCACTCAGTTTGAGAGTTTTTATGTTTTAATACTAAAACAACAATTGCTAGTATTGCTATAGATGTACAGATGTGTAACACTGTAAACTACAAGCAAATTGTTGATCTTATTTAATTCACCTATGGAATTTCTGTGAAAGATTAGTCTTTTTTTTTTACTGTTTGAGGAACTACATTGTTGACAAATCCTTCAAGCAATCTCAAGAGGCTTACCCACTGCCATTGGTATCAGAAAATGGCAGTTTCACTTACCCTTATAAAGCCTCTGATGACATGAAATTTAAATAACTTGCCAGACTTGCTGAGCTGGTTTGCCTCAAAGGCATTAAGGCTGACCAGTTGGTGATCTAGTATGGTGTTATGGAATTGGTACTGAAATTATTTAGCAGTAGGTATATACAGAACGAAAAAATCCTTAACAGAAAAGAGAATAAATGAAAGCAATACTGCCCTTTCTATTTTGGCACTAAAACAAAATATTTCCCTCCTGTCCTCCCTAGTAGCTGAATTTTTTTTTTGGTGGCAATTCATAGAACTGCGTGCTGAGGTACATTTCCAGTTCAGACCTGAATAACTTCATGGATTTTGTAGGGTGATCAAGAAGTTAAGCTCTCATGGTGGTTATTACATCTCTAAAAAAGGCTCTACTTAGACAGTTTGAAATAGCTAAAACCTTCATGTCTTACAAATGTTGCTTGTAACATACTCCTAACTATAGAGACTGCCAGATGATTCTACAGTTGCCAGCACTGCACAATACTGAAGGCCACATGAGTGATTATCAGCCTCTTATTTTAGTTTATTTTAACAGGTTCTGTGTTCAAAAAAAGCCTTATCAACTCTAGCTTCTCATCTTTTAAAAAATTCTTTCTCTGCCTCAAAAAGTACTGACTTTCTCTAATAGGGTGTTATCACATCTCTCTCAATCCCTCACACACAGGTTACCAAGAGAATAGAATAATCTTCTATTTGTCTGACCGCTGTTTTCTGCAAGGACACTTTGAACTATAATCTATTGTATGGCTAATCCTAGAGTTTAATTCCTTATTTATTGGGATAACTGACAAGGGAGAGGTAGCTAAACAGCATTCCAAATTCCTCACCCTATTAAGTGGCAAAGGAAGTTAAGAAAACAGAGAATGCAGATATCATACAGATGAGCTATCACACACATCTTTTTTTTTTTTTTTTGTCACTAGATTTTGGACTGCCTCAGCATTCTCATCCATAACTTGCTTTTCAATGTTTCATTGCTTTATTTCTACAGAAAAGCAGATATCTGTCCTCTGTCAAGGAACGGTAGATGCAAAAATCTCTTGAATATACCTCTTGCTTATGTCAAATACAGAAATTAGGGTCATTTCTAACACTGATGTTTCAGGATAGAAGTAAACTAAT